CTAAAATTTGATTTAGGGATTTAAGCTAAAATTTGATTTAGGGATTTAAGCTAAAAAAGGGGTTTAAGCTAAAAATTTGATTTAGGGGTTTAAGCTAAAATTTGGTTTGGGGTTTAAGCTAAAATTTGATTTAGGGATTTAAGCTAAAATTTGATTTAGTGGTTTAAGCTAAAATTTGATTTAGGGGTTTAAGCTAAAATTTGGGGATTTAAGCTAAAATTTGATTTAAAGCTAAAAATTTGATTTAGGGGGTTTAAGTTTAAAAATTTGAGGGGTTTCTAGGGGATTTAAGCTAAAATTTGATTTAAAGGAATTTAAGCTAAAATTTGATTTAGGGTTTAAGCTAAAATTTGATTTGGGGTTTAAGCTAAAATTTGATTTAGCTAAAATTTGATTTAGGGTTCAAGCTAAAATTTGATTTAGGGGTTTAAGCTAAAATTTGATCTAGGGGTTTAAGCAAAAATTTGATCTAGGATTTAAGCTAAAATTTGATCTAGGGGTTTAAGCTAAAATTTGATTTAGGGGTTTAAGCTAAAATTTGATTTAGGGATTTAAGCTAAAATTTGATTTAGGGGTTTAAGCTAAAATTTGATCTAGTGGTTTAAGCTAAAATTTGATTTAGGGGATTAAGCTAAAATTTGATTTAGGGATTTAAGCTAAAATTTGATTTAGGGATTTTAAAATTTGATTTAGGGGTTTAAGCTAAAATTTGATTTAGTGGTTTAAGCTAAAATTTGATTTAGGGGATTAAGCTAAAATTTGATTTAGGGATTTAAGCTAAAATTTGATTTAGGGGTTTAAGCTAAAATTTGATCTAGGTGTTTAAGCTATAAATATTTTTCGTTCTTTTGCCAACTTTATTCTAAATAAAATAATGAACATTTGTATTTAATTTAATTATATAATCACCATTGTTTGCAATCAATTTTTCAGTTTTCCGGTAAATTTCCGCTGGTTTTGATGTGAAAAATTTTACGAGGAAATCTTGTAGCTAATTTTCGTTAGAGAAAGATTTTTCTTTCTCTGAAAGGGTTTTGCAGCAATTGAAAAGGTAATAAATTGATTAGATGAAGTGTATATGGCGGGTGAAGTCGAAGAGATCAATCGAGTTCGAAAAATATAAAACTTGTTTGGTTATAAGGTTGGGTGAATATAGCCGGTGGATAAAGAGCAGACCAGTCTAGTTCGAAAATGATAAAAATCGATTGGCTATAAGGTTGGGTGAAGTGGCGGGTGGAGGAGAACAGACGAACTGAATTCTGAAAACATTTTTTTCGTTTTCAAAGCTGAGAACATCATTTTTCTACTATGCAAACAGTAAGGTATGCTAATGTATGCAGGTTTATTCTTAACTGCTACGTATAATTAATAGTTAGGGTGATCTATATTATTGAAATGAGGTATTTTACAATTTAAACTGTTTACATTGTTTCGACTGTTGTCCTCATTTTTATTGTCATATTCACGACGTTTCGACTGTTTTGGCCTTTTTCAGGTGATATACGTTATACAAGGATACATGGCCCAATAGATAAAAGCGTTGGATGAAGTAATACAGTGACTTGACCCAAAAGAGTTGTGAGTTCAATACCTGACCACAGCAGAGGTGAATAAAACTTGGAGAGTTACTAAAGGAAAATAATTGAAACTGAAAATGCATGGAACGTAGAACTAAAATAATCTACCCCAGTGGACGAAATAAAGGGTTCGATCAAGATTCCAATGTATATCCTCTGAAGACGGCCGGAGCGTACAACGCTCGAAACGTCATGAATAAGGGAAGAAAACTGAGGACAACACTCCGAACAATGTAAACAGTGTAAATAGGTAGGATTATATTTATTCGTCGTTACTATTAGTTCCTACTAAACGGAAAACGTAAATACTTTTAGAGTGTAGATTGTATTGTGAACATTGTTTTAAATATTTGTTTCCATTACTTCTACAAATAAAGAAATGCAGAAAGTACTGTGTTATAATACACCAATAGCAAATTGAAAAGACTGATCTGACTGCACCATTGTGATGAAGAAGTTTGGATTGTCCTACTGGATGTTACATGGTAAAGGGAGTTATTTTATTCTATTAGATTGCTCATAAAATAATGTCCTATTCTAGAATCAACTTTTATTCTTAAATCAGTGTATTTAAACAATGTCTAAATCAATCAAAATTGGAACCTTGAAGATCTATACATTTCTGCCATCGAGTTACAAGGTTACATATGCTTTTCTGCATCTAGTTTGCAACAGGATGTCTTTTGGTTTAAAACCTTGTCCAGCTGCTTGAAAAAGTCCTAGTCAATGGACGAGAGATCAGGGGAATATATGGATATGGCAATGTCTCGTATCCCAAGTCGGTGAGCTTCTACAGAGTCATCCGAGCGACATGTGGCCGGATATTGTCATGAAGCAGAATTAGACCATGTCGATTAACCACTGCCAGTTGCATATTGCTTAAATGAATGTATATTTCATCCAGTTGCTGGTAGTAAACTTCCCGCAGTGATGCTCTGGTTGGATTCCCCAAAAAAACTTGTAATGGCGGACCACCAGACAGTTACCATATTCTTCTGTTGGTAAAATTCCGGTTTTTGGAAAGTGTTAGTCATGATCGTTTAAGATTGTCATAAAGTATCCGTTTCGCATCCCAAATCATTATTCGATCAAGAAATGGATCCTTCGAATTTGAGGCAGCATCGAACATACTTCAAAACGTAAAATCCTTTGTGTTTCAATTAGTTGACGTGCATTTATCGAGTTTCTTCCCTTTGCTACTGTTGAAACTTGAATAAAGCATGGAATAATAATAATAATACAACACAAAATGTACTTAAACAAAATGTATTGACACAAGAACGTGTATATAATATTTACAGATAGTTTGGTATATTCTTGGGAAGACCGTTCCTGTAGAATGGGTTGACTTAATCGCAGTCGGGCAGAGTCTCTGGATTGGATCTCTTCTTCCTCCCCCGTCTTCCCGGTACCAACCATATTTATATGGTCGGTACTCCACTATGTAAATTAGGTGGATCCTACCACAACAGCTACTTTTCTGGAGATGGTCCGATATTGTTGAAATGCTGACACCTATTATTTGAAACATTTCTCTGATACTTTATAATGTCTTTTGTTCGACTACTGTTTCCAGATGTCGCTTTTCAACTGCAGATGGACGTCCTTTACCACATTGATCTTCAAGACTCATACCCCCACTTCGGAACTTCAAAAACCAGCGATCGCAATTAGATCCTTCCGCTCATGCTCTGTTAATGTTGGCAGCAGTTTGAGAAGTATTATGACCAATCTTGAAATTCCTGGATATGACGATAAACTACATCCGGCTGCAAGGCTTTTTATCGGGAGATTAGAGGTCTTGAGGGGCGTGGAACCACCTCTTAAATTCTGTTGTTCCCATGTCCAAAATAACTTGAAGTAGTAGTAACTGTTAGGGTCCCAGCTATGGGCAAATAGTGAACCCCCAAACAAAAACAAAACTATGAATAGCTTATAAAATGTATTTCTATATGAAACACATTTTATAGTAAAAATACCAGCAATATATTTTCATATAAAGAAATTACATATTAAAAGTAGAATTACCAACAATACATTTTTTCTGTAGTTGAAGGCATACAATTGCGTTCAAAATATATTATTTGAAGTCATAAATCGTTTTTAAAATATTTATATTTCGGCATTAAATAACCCATAGAAGTATTGATGCACCGCTAAACAAATCCAACGAACAAACTGAGCCCGAACTCATGCAAAAATTGAATTGTGTCTCTTCTTTTTTCACATTCAAGATAAAGTGCATTTAATGTTTTAAGTTAAATTCTGAAAGAGATTGATATAAAATTAATAAAGATGTTAATTATTAAATAATATATTTTTCTGCAACTGCCGTAATACAAGGTCCCTTTCCCCAAAAAAGAATTGGCATTATTTTGCAGTCTAATAACATAGCCAATTCTCGTTCAAATGATCTCAAATTTCAAGGAAATATGTAATGTACCGGCACATCTAAAAGAGAATCTACCAGAAAGATGGATCGAGCATACCAGTGATAATGACAATGTGTTGTTGAAATGACCGTCACATTTACCTGACTTGACATCTTGTAATTTTTTTTTCTATAAAACTATACGAAAGGTCAAGTCTATACCCCCAGAGTTCCTATAAGGTTAGTAGAAATTAGGCAAAGAATCACTGAGACGCCAGAGAATGTTACGCAAGACATGCTACAACGCGTTTGGCAGGAGCTGGAGTATCGTCTTGACGTGTGTTGCGACACAGGTGGAGCGCATATTAAACATTTGTGAGGCTTCATGAAATCGGTTATAAAATCTACATCCATTTGAATCTTTTATAAATCTTTTATTGTTGGAAATGATGCCTATTTAATTTCGTTTTTCTGAGACATGTACTTACTCAGGTATTCACATTTTAAATGATGTCAATTTGGGGGAAGAACACCCTGTATATTAAAACAGAATGAAAAAGTTTATCCTAAAATCGAACTTTATTTCTCGAACAACCTAATACATGCAGCGAAAGATAATTAATCCTTATATACATAACTTAGTGGGGAAATCCTTCACCTGAATAGATCATTAGGATGAAGAAAATCAACGGATTGCACGACTGGATGTATCATGGCACGTCTAAGACAAAAGTAGGTTACTAGTTGGCGCCTCTCTGATCTAGAATTAACGTGAAACAGGTAGTATCAATTTCCATGGCAGTAGAAACAATGAATTATCTCTGACCTCACTGCCAAAAATATTGACACGCTAAAATCAAACTGAACATACCTTATAAACCCAAATTTTACAAACCACCTCCATGTCCCTATTTATAATGTTCTGCGGCGACTTGATAGTTTTTCACTGTTTGTTTTGAACAAAAGATCCAGTTTGGGAAATTTCCCGGTATGCATAATGGTTGATCGTTAAACCTGTGATCTTTTAATAACCATGATATGACTTGCTCGCCATGATGTCGACTGAGAATAATGGTTTGTCTATAAGGGAAAGCGTCTTGCTTGCTCAGTAAAGCGTGCAATATTTATTTACCGCCCCTAAACAAGAATAAGTTTTAGTGTCACGAAATCTCACATGCTTTCACTCAGATAATTATTTATTCGCACCTTTCTTCATTGCATAACAGTTTTTAAAGACGATTTTTCTTTCTCTTTTATCAGACAATTCTTTCTTTCTTTCTTTCTCCTCCTTCCTTCCTTCCTTCCTTCCTTCCTCCTCCCTTCTTCCGTGTTTCTTTTTATGTCTCGCTCTTTTCTTTCTTTCTTCTCCTTTCTCTCTTTATGGGTCTCATTGATTGATTTCTTTCTTTCTTTCTTTCTTTCTTTCTTTCTTTCTTTCTTTCTTTCTTTCTTTCTTTCTTCTCCCTTCTCCCGTCTCTCTTTTTGTGTGTGTCTCTTTCTTTCTTTTTGTGTTTTTCTTTCTTCCTTTTTGTGTTTTTTTCTTTCTTTCTTTCTTTCTTTCTTTCTTTCTTTCTTTCTTTGTCTCATTGATTTTTTCTTTCTTTCTCCTCCCTTTTCCCGTCTCTCTTTTTGTGTTTCTTTCTTTCTTTCTTTCTTTCTTTCTTTCTTTCTTTCTTTCTTTCTTTCTGTGTCATTTTCTTTCTTCCTTTTTGTGTCTCTTTTTCTTTCTTTCTTTCTTTCTTTCTTTCTTTCTTTCTTTCTTTTTTTTCTTTTCCCTCACTTCCTACGAGTGCTACAGGTACCATATAAGTCAGTATTACTTGCCGCATGGTTGAATTATCGGCGATTCCGCTATCAGGCTTTTGTGGTAACGAGTCTTAAAAAGTACCTGTGAAAGGGCGTACGAATCTTTTTGCAATGTCAACAGCCATGTAACACAACGGTGTAGACAGGGTCCCACGACTATGCACGGGGATATACTGGGCAGAGGAGGGCTTTAGACTGAATTTAACAGCCAGGGCGGAGAGTCCTCCGATAGAAAAAACGGCTACGTGTCCGTGACTAAAGCGTGCCTTTATTTTGAGAGGAAATTGGTCGTGTTTCGTCCTGGAGACGGAGTCTCTGACACGTTTCCTTGCTCAAGATACGCCACACATGAATGACTATTTCGGCTATCAAACTATATATGGAGTAGCAAGTTGTCTGGTGCTCAGTTGTGCCCTACTACCACACCCAGTCTTGGGACCGATGATGACGATGATAAAATAAGATACATACACTAATTCCTTGTAATAGTTATTTTAGTGTAAGACTTCTTATTTTAAGACATATTATTTTAGTGTAAGACTTCTTATTTTAAGACTTATTATTTTAGTGTATGTCTTATTATTTTAAGACTTATTATTTTAATGTAATACTTATTATTTTAGTGTAAGACATTATTTTAGTGTAAGACTTATTAGAAAAAGCGCTTTTCTTTGAATCGAGATTTATCGATACTGACATTTAAGGAAGTATGTATACATTTCTTACACTTTTAACCCAAGACTACTTTTTCTCATGCATATTTCAGTTTTAAATATAGCAATTTTTTTCAGATTATTTATCTCTTTTGCTCGACTAAATGAGAGTAACCTCTTTAAACGAGTGCATAGAGCAATATATTCCAAGATTGAATATTCTATCGCAACCACATCGCTCCTATCGACAGTCACTATCGATGTGATCAATTACACCAATATCGTTCTATAAATGTTTGATAATACAGGGTGTCCCAAAAAATTTGTCATCATTTTGCAGGCCAATAATTTTGGCAATTCTTGTTGAAATAACCTCGAATTTTCACAGAATGTATAGAAACAGATCAAGATTTTATATTTAATGGAAGACGTGCTTAACTCAATAAGAATCTGCCAGAGACGTGGATCGGGCGTGGTTGAGATGAAGACAGTTTTCTGATGACATGGCCACTGCGGTCACTGGACCTGTCTTTATTTGATTTCTTTTTATGGAGATATGTGAAGGGACTGATCTATGTCCCCCCACCCTCTTCCTGCTAGCATCGCTGAACTCAAACAGAGAATCACTTTCACACTAGATAATGTTACCAAAGACATGCTACAGTGTGTTTGGCAAGAGCTTAACTACTGACTTGACATGCACTGTGTCACAGGCTGTGCACATATTGAACACTTATGAAATCAGTCCCATAATAAACTTATGATGTTCAACACGTTAACTGTCCAGTTTCATTGAGCTCGACTTAGTAATTTTCAAGATAATTGCTTTTAAAATGATGTCAAATTTTTGGGAACACTCTGTATTAACGGCGAGATGGTTAAAACGTTCAAACGTGCGGCAAATTTGGAAAGTGCCTGGAAAACATACTATGAAATTGCAAATGGCTACTAGCAAATTGTAAATTAACTTGCTCTCTATTTATTCACCGTGCCTTGAAAGACTATTGGGTCTCAAATTCGCACCTCACCTTAAGAAAAACTCGTATATACGATCCATTGCTAAAGATGCAGGTAAAAATCATCGGGTTCCTGTACCGCTCCACTAAGTACTTGATTCATTCGGCTATTCTCTACCGTTTTAAGAATCAGATCAAACCGAAAATGGAGTACTGTTGGCATATTTGGGCGTTAGCTTCCCAGACATCACTTTCCAACCTTGAAAACGTCTCTGAGTCCTTGTGGGTGACGAATTATTCTCTTTCTCTCACAGGCGGGATGTGGTAAGTCTCTCGCTGCTCTGTCGCTACTTTCACGGAAAGTGCTCGGACGAACGAAATTCCCTGGTTCCATCAGGTCAAACCTTTACGACAAGGACACGCCTTGCCACCTACATAATATTAAACCAGCCAAATTTCCCCCCGTATTCTATTGGTGAGAAATACGTTCCACCCTAACAGCTATTCCCACGAATGACTGCTCTGTAAAACCGACTCCCAAGCTGAATTTTCCCCGATCACTACAATCTTAACAGGTTCAAGCCTGGGGTTAACCATTAAGTTCTGCTCCTATTCGCACAAATTGCCTCCTAACGTAAACCTCTACCTCGAGCCGGCCTCGGGCCTTGTAAAGGGCGGAACCTCATTGTAAAAAAAGAAATGAAGATAATAATCCTGGTAAGCTGAAGAAACCATCGACAGGACCTTTGTTAAAAGTAACAAAGACGACCTCACTCCCTAGCCTTGATAGATTCCATCAGCGTCTCCGAGTCCTTGTGGGTGACGAATTATTCTCCAGCCTCTCTCTCTCTCTCTCTCACACACACAGGCGGGATGTGGCAACCATATTGCTACTTTCACGAAAAGTGCTCGGACGAACTACATTTCCTGGTTCCGGCTGGTCAAGCCTTCACGACAAGGACACACCATGTCACTTACATAGCTGCGAACCACCCTCATTTCCTCTATATTCCATCAGTGAAAAGTCGAACAGCTTATTCCCGCGAACCACTGCTCTATGGTACCAATTCCTAAGAAGATCTTTCGTCGATCACTGCAATCTTAACCTGTTCAAGGCTAGGGTTAACCGTTATTTTCCCCTCCTAGTCGCGCAAATTGTCTCCTAACGTAACCCTCTACCTCGAGTGGTCCCCGGGCCTTGTGCAGAGTGAATCTGGATTTGAAAATTATGATAACGTCGATCTAGAGTGGTACACAGTAATTAAGCACACTTCAGAAACAGTATGTTTTAGTGATAACGAACTTAGTATTGGCATCGGTCCAGAGAGTGATCTGTATCCAAAGAGCTTTAGGCCAAGAATTGGAATGTTTAGACAAAAGTTGGCCTTCTGATATTTAGAAGCTGAAAAGTTAATTGTTTAGCTTTATTTAATTACACCAAACATATTTTTATATTGTTTAAAGAGCAAGTTTTCTCTCACAAAAGCAATGCGTACCCTAGAAAACATATCTATCTTATTTTGGCAGGATCTTCAGAGACCCCTCACCATGGAGCAATGATTAACAAATTCATCGTGTAGAACATTACAACTATAGATCGATACACACAGATATTTTTTAAACAAATTCAAGGCTCGACAGCAGCTCAATGTAGAGGGTTATGGCCGAAATAGCAATGAGGAATGATTTCTGTGATATAAGCGAAAAAAGTGTGGTAAAAAGTGGAGATAGATAATGATTAACCATTGACTTAAAGAGGTAAAGATTGAAGTGTTCAGGAAAGTATCTACACGGGAGTCTGTTTCCCAAAGTAGCGTTTCGCAGGGGAAAACGCTGTCTTTACTTACATTCGGATCACTGGGGAAATGAGGAGGATTTGACTAGGTGGAAGTGGTATGGTGTGTCCAAGCTGTACAGGTGTGAACTGCTAGAAATAAAAATGGAGCTCATCTGAGCACCGCATATTTGTGAACTTGTGCCATACGAAGGATTAAACAATAGTTTCGCAGATCAGTATTAATTTATTGATAATGGTAATAGTGAAATTTAGCCGTTTTCATACAGAAATCTTTCGACATCCACTGACCGAAAAGTTAGCGTTGGTTGTAATTTATGAAATTAGAAATATACAAGGCCCTGAAATGTGGCAGCCTTATTGAGAATCGAACTCACTACAAGAATAATGGCCTGAGAAACAAGTTTACAAGCCAGTACGTCAGAGAGAAGCACTTAATTGATATTTACTAGACAACCAAAATTAAAGTGGCTCCTAATAAGTCGCTATAGATTTGCTGTACAGGATCACATTTAGCAAATAACAAAAAAAAAACAAAAAAACAAAAACATATCACTTGAAGACTTCCAACAGCAGAAACAACTAAAATGGTTAGCACGTGTAGCTAAAAAAAAAAATAATAATAAAATAAAATATGAACAGCACGCAAAATTTTTCAGCGTCCCCATTTGTAAAAATAAATCTGAAGTTCCATATAAAAAAGAAAAAAAGAAAACGATCAACAGTTAAAAAAGAAAATAAAAAAAGTTTCTTTTTAAAAATTCTTTAGAAAAATTTGCTTACAATGTTCAAAACTTGGTGTCTGGGGATTCGTCCTCAGACAGCGCCTGCTTAGTGCATATTAACCTAAAAAAAAATAATTCGCGTCATGTTCTTAAATGTTCTCATCATATCGAGATTTTCATATGGATACCCTGCATGTTGTTAAACTCGTTCAAAAATGTCTAAACTGTCGGCTGTATACAACCGCCTTCTCAGATCGATAATTAAAAATGACTTCGAGCGTGGGACCATACTTGTTCGAACCTTGTGGACTGGTGCTAAAGAGTCACAAGCAAAAGACTGTACTAGACACTAAAAACCACACCATTTAGAGACTTCCAACAGGAACAACAACTAAAACGAATAGCACATGTAACTAGAAAAAAATTAATGATGAAACGAACATGTTAACTTTTCACATTACCTTTTAAAAAAGGTTTCGGAAGAAACTTCCAGCATTACTCTAAAGAACGCTAACAGGGAACTTGAGAAGTTTGTTTTCCTGGGAAATTAAAACAGTTTTTTCAGTTCTTGATGCTGTTGAAGGTCTTCAAGTGATGTGTTTTTTTATTTGGTAAAATTGTTTGGGATTCTGTATTACCAGTCTATAACAGTTTATTGGGTGTCCCCGTAATTGTGATTGTGTAGCAAGTATCAATCGCTGGAGTACTATTATGTGAATATGTTTGTCTTTCATTGAGGTCGATATTCAATAGGTATGCCATATTTCTGGCCTTGTACATTACTGTTGTATATTTTAAAAATATCTCTATAAAAGCTACCATTGAATTATGTCAGGAATATGCAGTTTTGTAAGAGTCTTCAAGGTAATGCATGAAAAACTGTTTTACGAGAAATTAAAATAGTTTTTTTAGTTGTTGGAAGTCTTCAAGCGATGTGTTTGTTTTTAAATAAAAAGTTCTTTGTGATCCTATGCCGCCAGTCTATAGCGATTTATTAGAAACTTTCGTAATTGTGATTTGTGTTGTAAAAATCAATTGAATGCTTATCTCTGGAGTACTGGCATGTGGACTTGTTTCGTAGGCCATTACCCTTGTATTGATCTCGATCCTCAATAATACCGCCACATTTCTGGCTTTGTACATTAATAATCTACGTTTAAAAAATATAGATATAAAAGCTGCCGTTGAAATATGCATTTAAGGAATACGTAGTTTTGAAATAGTTTCCATGGCAATACAGTATTTAACTTTTAAGGCAGAATAACATATATTTTTATTATTTCAAAGCTCCCAAGAAAATTATATTTCGACATTAAATGATCCATAAGGTGTTGATTTGTTGTTAAATTAACAAATCAATCAAATATATTTGCCGTTTTTGATTGCAATATTAGAATTTCATAAACTTGTAATAAAAGCACAAAGAGAAACTTGTTTCAAATTGAAAGTAAAATTACCAGCAATACATTTTATATAAAAAATGATCAACAATACTCATTGATAATAAAATTACCAACAATACATTTTATCTGTATTTAAAGGCATACAATTGTATTCTAAGTATATCACCATTTCTAGTAATTGTCCACACAAACGTGTATATGCACAAAAGCTTAGCATCATCTACGATGTATTCAGTTGTGCAAGCAGAATAACATACATCATTTTTTATTGCTTCAAAGATCTCAAGAAAATTAAATTTCGGTATTAAATGACCCATAAGGTGTTGATATGCCGTTAAACAAAAAAATCAAATCAATCAATCATGGTAATACCTATATCATATCTTATGGATATATTTTCTTTTCATCCACCATAGCATTTAAGTATCGATATCATGATGAATAGTCTGTTCAGAAGATGTCAGGTATTACTATTTTTTACATTCCTCTGTGCAGTGCGTTGGTATTAATCAATATCACCGCTAGAAGGTTTCAGATACAACAACATCGGGAACAAGGTAGATTCTGTAACCGGATCCTTACGCTGGAGATACAGCACGTACTGAATGCACCGGGTCTTGTAAATAGGGTGTAGTAAAATTACTGCGTTAACACTCCTCTGATGTACCCGTAAAGGTAAGCAAAATAGAACAAAAACACATGGCTCTAATCTCTTGTGTGTGCGCATTTTACGTTAGTGTCCTCGTCGCGGATTGGTTTTTCAGTATAAGGTTCTGATTGGCCCAAAAAGAATACCGTCATTCTCACTCGCTTTCTGTCGGCGCGTCGTATTATCTGCACTATTTCAAGCCACCAGGTAAAGATGTCGCTGACAGATTGTCGTCTGATGTCAAACGAACGGGAAGAAAATTCAAATAAGAAACATTTTTTTGCTAAGAAACTTGATTCTTCACTGACACATAAATATTTATATGGGTCATTTTTTTTAGTTTTACCTTAAACACTGCATACAACATCGATATCTATAATTCTCAAAATGTGTATGTGTGTACGTGTGTGTGTGTGTGTGTGTGTGTGTGATCGGATGTTCTTTAAGCGGTTCCCCAGTTTTCATCCGATTAAATTTTTTTTGTTTGATAGATACTTCTTCAGTGCCGGTTTTGTGTCCAAATTTTTCGCGACAATGGCTCTCCACTACTTCCTGTCCATTATAACACTCAGCAACGTTTTACCATTTACTATCTGTTCTTGGATATATATCTTTAATAAAAAACGTTAATAAAAATAAATAGTTTAAATTACAATAATATCTATATCTATAATTCTCAAAATGTGTGTGTATATGTGCGTGATCGGATGTCGTTTATGCATTTCCACAGTTTCCATCCGAACGCTTCTGTGCACGAGGCTGAAAATGATGATCAAACGACGAAGAGAAACGTCTCCTTAACTGCTGCTGCGCGTGAGGCTGAAACAAGATTAAGAACGCAAAAACGGCACTTTTAAGTGCCACCCCACCATTCAAATTGTTAACCCTCTCCATTTGGGGATGTGCCTCAGTTGTACCCAATTGTTGTTACTAATATTGATTTTCGGGTGGGCTGCTTCAATTGAACGTCATAAATTCCCAGTAATGAAAGACACGATCGAAGACAGGTTATACTGCTGTGTGTGTATATATATATATATATATATATATATATATATATATATATATATATATATATAATATTATAAATTAATTGATTTAAAATATTTAATTGATATATTATTTAATATTTAATTAATTTAAAATAGCGAAAAAAAACATATTTTAAATCAATTAATTTATAATATTAATGCTCTGTAAATTCACATTGAGCACTATTTTGTAAAAATAAAAATATCTATAAGAACACCGGATTATATATCTTACTGTTCTTTATATATATATATAATGAAATGGACAAAGCCCGACAATTATTTAAAGACATTTTTATGTTTATACATTCTTTTTATAGATACAAATATTTAAGTAAATGATTTGTTTATAATAAACGGTGTTAAACAACATTTACCTGCCTGAATGTCCGAGAAATCTTCACAGAAAATATTCGTCCTCCGACAGCATTCGAACCTGTATCCTATACGGAACCGTCATTTAGCTTGATGTGACTTTAATCGATTTGGCCACAGAGGAAGGTTTGGTTAGCAATGTTGTTTAATACTGTTTATTATAAACAGAGCATTTACTTAAATATTTGTATCTATAAAAAGAATGCTTAAACATAAAAATGTCTTTATATATATATATATATATATATATATATATAACTGACCAGAGAATTCAGAGCAGCATGTATCTATCCAGCTCTTATCTCAAATAACAACTTAAAAGAGACTGTTTGACCAACACAAGGATTGTTAAAAGATTCATGTTAAAAAGATTAAAAAAATAAAAAAATAAATGAAAACTACAGACAAAAGTTCATTTTCTCCAGCAAAAGATTCATTTCTGTAGTTTACTGCTACCAGCAAGCAGAAATATTTCTCCTCCATTTTGGTCGAAACTAGTCGAGGAATCTAAATGAAATAATAATAATAAAAAAACGAAAGAATATTAATCTACAACCCAGTGTGTCTAATGATTTTAATTTT